TTTTAAAAAAGGGGGGGGGGGGGGGCTTCTCCATTCTCTCGAAAAAAGGAAGACAAAAAAGTTCCTTTCTTGTATCCTAAAAAAGGGAAACAATTGTAATCTCCCTTCCTCGTCAATTGATTAGGAAGGCAACGAAGAATCTTAATAAGATCATTCATACTTCCTTCATCCCATATGCAATTATTATTCTTAAATTTTTCTGTCTGGAATTAACTAAGTTTGACTACGATTTACCACTTCATCTTTGATTGATTTGTTCACAAAGGTTTTGATATCTTTTGAGTCAAACAATTTGGCACCGTCTGTGGGGATTTCTTAGTGAAAACTCCTAGTTTTTCCCAGATCAAAGCTGAGAGACACAGTCATTCACCGAAAGAAGCTTGAGGGGAGAATCAAACTCGCGTGTGACATGGGAACAACGCGTTAAGAGAAGGAGAGCCGAAGTGGGTTTACCAAACCTAGAATTCCTCGCCCCATCAGTTGCAAATATTATAGACAAGGCAAATGGTGCCACAACCCATTCCCCCCCCCACCGAACCACCAGACGGGAGCGAAAAAAATCTCGCCCTAATCTCCCATTCTATGTTCAGGCAAACACATAAGATCCGCGTGGACGAACGTATACAGGAACATCTCGATTAAATAACCAAAATTACTTCAACACAGCTGAAACCCCCTACCGATAGCATCTCTGAGCCGAACGGCGAGAGTTAGACAAGAAAACTATAACACTCGCACAGCACGAACCTATGCAAAACGTTGATGCCTCGTATTCACCAGCATTGCACCATCTAACGCAAGCAATACCAAACAAACTGGAACTCCCACGGAAGATGTCCAACTCTCCAGAAACTGAGACTGACGACGGGCTGTTATTTCGGTAAGTTTGTAATAACATCCTTTAAGGATAAGGGCCTTCGCCAAAAAGAAAAGAAGAGTTCGACCTCGATCGAACGACGTCGGGCTATTATTTCGATAAGTTTGAAATAACACCCTTTAAGGCTAAGGGCCTTCGCCATCAAAAAGAAGAGTTCGACCTCGATCGAATGACGATGGGCTGTTATTTTGATAAGTTCGAACTAACACCCTTTAAGGCATAGGGCCATCGCCAAAAAGAAAAGAAGAGTTCGACCTCGATCGAACGATGACGGGCTGTTATTTCGATAAATTTGAAATAACACACATTAAGGCTAAGGGCCTTCGCCATCAAAAAGAAGAGTTCGACCTCAATCAAACGACGACTGTTGTTATTTCGATAAGTTCGAAATGACACCTTTTAAGGCTAAGGGCCTTCACCATCACAAAGAAGAGTTCGGCCTCGATCGAACGACGATGGGCTGTTATTTCGATAAGTTCGAAATAACACCCATAAAAAAGAAGAGTTCGACCTCGATTGAATGACGACGGGCTGTTATTTCGATAAGTTTGAAATAACACTCATTAAGTCTAAGGGACTTCGCCATCAAAAAGAAGAATTCAACCTCGATCGAACGACGACAGGCTGTTATTTCGATAAGTTCGAAATAATACCCATTAAGGCTAAGGGACTTCGCCATAAAAAAGAAAGGTTCGACCTCGATCGAACGACGACGGGATGTTATTTTGATAAGTTTGAAATAACACCCTTTAAGGCCAAGGGACTTCACCAAAAATAAAAGAAGAGTTCGACCTCGATCGAACGACGACGGGCTGTTATTTCGATAAGTTTGAAATAACACCCTTTAAGGCTAAGGGACTTCACCAAAAATAAAAGAAGAGTTCGACCTCGATCGAACGACGACGGGCTGTTATTTCGATAAGTTCAAAATAACACCCTTTAAGGCCAAGGGCCTTCGACAAAAAGAAAAGAAGAGTTCGACCTCGATCAAATGATGATGGGCTGTTATTTTGATAAGTTCGAAATAACACCCATTAAGGCTAAGGGCCTTCGCCATAAAAAAGAAAGGTTCGACCTCGATCGAACGACGACGGGCTGTTATTTCGATAAGTTTGAAATAACACCCTTTAAGTCCAAGGGCCTTCGCCAAAAAGAAATGAAGAGTTCGACCACGATCGAATGAAGACGGGCTATTATTTCGATAAGTTCGAAATAATACCCTTTAAGGCCAAGGGACTTCGCCAAAAAGAAAAGAAGAGTTCGACCTCGATCGAACGACGACGGACTGTTATTTCGATAAGTTCGAAATAACACCCTTTAAGGCTAAGGGTCTTCGCCATCAAAAGGAAGAGTTCAACCTCGATCGAACGACGATGGGCTGTTATTTTGATAAGTTCGAAATAACACCCTTTAAGGCTAAGGGTCTTCGCCATCAAAAGGAAGAGTTCAACCTCGATCGAACGACGATGGGCTGTTATTTTGATAAGTTCGAAATAACACCCTTTAAGGCCAAGGGCCTTCGCCAAAAAGAAAAGAAGAGTTCGACCTCGATCGATAGGACCACTGGCTGTTATTTCGATAAGTTCGAAATAACACCCTTTAAGGCCAAGGGCCTTCGACAAAAAGAAAAGAAGAGTTCGACCTCGATCGAACGACGATGGGCTATTATTTCGATAAGTTTTGAAATAACACCCTTCAAGGCCAAGGACCTTCACAAAAAAAAAGAGAGAGATGGGTTTTGACCTTGATCGAATGGCGACAGGCCGACATTTTGATAAGTTCGAAACGACATCACTAAAGGTCAACAACCACCGGAAGAAAAGAAAAATGGGGACTCGTCAGATGAGCCTCTATCTTGCACCAAAGCCATGAACAGTTGGAATAAAAAGTGAAGCACAAGGCAAATAGCGAAGAAGAGAACTTTTATTTATGCAATGTCACAGTGCGGGCTACTGCCGCTTACATATGGCCCAGTCCAACCAATAAAAAAAGAAGAGAAGAAGAAACGAACAAATGACAATCAACAAATAAAATAAAAAAAAAACAAAGGACAACATTCTTCATTCGGCGTCATCACTGTCGTCACCATCACCACTATCATCGCCATCTCCATGAGGTTCACCATTATCATCATCCACGCCCCCGGTGGCTTGGAGCGTCACCGCGTCATATCCACAATTAATGCGAGCCTCACGAGCTTTCGCTCGCGCTTCTTTATAAGCAGCCTTAGACACGGTGCCCGCTTCCTACAAACTCTTATATATGTCCCGTTGGGCTTCAGCGTAAACCTAGAGCTCATGCATTTGGCAAGGAACGACAGCGGAAAACGACTCAACCTGGGCCTGTAATCGCTTATTTTCTGCCTTCAGGTCCGCGACCCAATCTCCTCGAATCGATACCTCCTGATCAATCGCGCCAATGCGCTCCTTGCCTCCCTAAGGGTAGCTGTCACTCTCTCCGACTCATGTTCAGATTGGAGTACGCGGATGGTGTCCTCCAGGGCCACTACCCTTGCGAAAGCCTCAGACCAAGCTCTCTCGATGTTCTACAAACCAATGACTTTGCTCTCCATCGCAGTCAATTTTCTCATCCACTCCACGCTCATCGCCTCGACCTTGACCAAATTCTGGTCCATCTCCGACTACATTGACCTCAACCTGCCTGCAAATGCTCACACTCCGCCGTAATCCCCCTACCCAACTCGATCTCCTCGTCCTTAATGAGAAGTTGCTCCTTGAGTTCGCTCTTTCTACGGATTGTCTGCATTAATTCCTGGTCCTTTTTCTCCAATTCCTCACCAAGATCCTGATTACAGGGATCCGTCCTCAGCCGTTCATGAATCTCGCGTCATCTATCACGGTAGCGACGGTATTTCTCCAGCATCTTCAAGAAAATCCTTGCCCAGATGTTGGCCCTGCGAATGCTTTCCACTTCTACCATGTATGTCTGGAAATCATAAAGACGAGGTTAAACTAGCACTTTCGAAAGGGGCGAAAGCATAAAGCGAAAGCAAAATGTAACATACCCTTAAACCCATGACGACTACCTCGTCCCTCAACTCAGCATCAGGGACATCCCGAAGGGACTCATTCTTAGCTTTTGAGCATAATAGGCTGAATTGCGGCACCAGATCCTCCCCTTCCGCTAAGAGGTTAGCGCCGGAAGGGATCTGAAGAACACGGACCGAGCCCCCCGCATTAACTACCAAATGAGTAAGGCCCTCCTCGAACATCCTAGCATCATCGGGTCCAGGTCTGACTCAGATTCATACTCGTCAACCACCACGCATTTTCCCCTTTCCGTTGTTGAAAAAG